CACAAGACAGGGGAAGAACTAATAAAGGAGTATGGAAGAGAACCAAAGCGGAAGCAGGAGGCCAGCGGAGAGGCCAAGTCAATAATCTAGGCAAGAAATGGCAGCGGTTTGGACTGGGGTCAGTGGCACTGGAAATGGAGAGACCAAAATCACTGCACATTTTAGAGGAAGAACTGACAGAGCTTTCCGACAGATTACAAGTAAGAGATAGGAATCCAGGACAACTCCCAGATTTCTGGCTTGAAAAATGAATGGATGGTATCGGCATTTTTAGGGAAGACTGGTGGAAGAATAAATTCTGAAGGAGGAATCAGAAGTTCACTTTTGGAAAATGGTGAACTTTGAGATGCCCGTGAGACACCCATCCATGGTTCCATCTGCAGGCAAATAAAACTCCAAAAGATAAAAGGCAACACTAGCCCTTCTATTTCTTCAGGTTGTCATCAGTCACAGGGCTCATATTTACTAAGACATTTATGAAAAATGAAAAAAGGTTTTTAAACTGAGTTCATACTTGCAGTAAGTTGGGAGTTTTCACTAATAAACTGGCTGGCCAAAGCTGACCTTGGGCAGATGTACAGAGAACTTGTTTCTTGGGCATCTTTAAGAATGTAAGCCTGGGATGGTGTTTCTTTAGCCGACAACCAGAAGACAAAACAGGGCAGTATTTTAATTCTTTATTTTCTTTTATTTTTTATCGTTTATTTATTTTGAGAGAGAAAGCGCGAGTGTGTGCACACACAAGCTGGGTAGGGGCAGACAGAGGAGAGACAGAATCCCAAGCAGGCACCACACCATCAGAGCAAAGCCCGATGTAGGGCTCGAGCCCATGAACTGTGAGATCATGACCCAAGCCAAGATCAAGAGTCGGATGTTTAACCGTGTGAGCCTCCCAGGCGCCCCTAATTCTTTTCGTAATGGTTAATACTCCCGTCTTGACAGTGACAGAATGCAGTGGGGGCAGGTGGTTGGCTTCTGAAGGAAGCAAACCAACTGACAAGCTGCGTGAAAGCCTCACTGCTGCTCCGAAAACCCTTGCGGTGCACGAACCACACTCCCTCACTTTTCTTTTGTGGTGATAGCAGTTCTCTCTGCAGCTATGTGGAGACTGCGTTTGTCTGGGACATTCTCCAAAAGTGTCTTGCAACAGAATCTTGCTATAAAGTTAAATTGTGTGAAACTAACAATGATTTTTCTGTGTGCAAGGGAGGCTAGAAATATCCCAGACATAACAAAAGCAAAATGAGCACAATCTGTTTCCCATCTTTAAAATAATTCTATTTCCAAGAGGAATGTACAAGTTTGGAGTTTAAAAAAACAAAACGGACACTTACCATAGATCTAGTCTATTAGTGGCCTCATATGCACAACTGATCATATTCTGGCCATTTTTACAACCCATTGGTGGCGACTGCATCCATTCAGGCAACACAAATGATAGCTGAGTTCTGGTCATTCTGTTCATAGCGATATGGTCAATGTAACTTTTCTCAACATCTCACTTTAGAGTGGGTTTTAATTTTAAAGTGCTTCAAAGAGCTTTATATGGGGGCGCCTGGGTGACTCAGTTGGTTAAGCATCCAACTTCAGCTCAGGTCATGATCTCACGGTTTGTGAGTTCAAGCCCCACGTGGGGCTCTATGCTGACAGCTGGGAGCCTGGAGCCTGCTTCAGGCAGAGAGCCCACTACCCCACTAGATAGTCACTAGCCCACTACCCCTGCAGGATGGTCACACAGATTGTGTCTCCCTCTCTCTGCCCCTCCCACCACACACCCTCTATCTCTATCTCAAAATAAATGAACATGAAAAAAATATTTTTTAATTAAAAAAATAAAGGTATTTATATGTATCTACCCACAAAACCCACGAGTTCCACTGGAAACAACCATTGCTGATACTCACTCCTGCAAAAGGAAATGTGCTTTATTCCCCTGCCGTCAAAAAGAGCATGACAGACAGCCCCTGCCTAGCTCCCCAGCCTCCTTTCCTGCTCTCCTCCTCGTCATACTTCACACACTAGAACGTACATGGAGTCCTCTCCCTCCAGTGTGGTGTGGATTTAGTGACTTGCTGTTAGGTAACAGAATCTAGAAATGTGACTTGCTTACCAGACTGGGACCCCCACTGTGCTGGTGAGAGTGCTCACTGGAGGCACACCCCTCCCTGCCCTCTGGCCTGCTCATGCTGAGGAAGCAAGATGCTCTATGCAGGCGCCCCCATGGCAGGCAAGGGAAGAAGGAGCTGAGGCCTCACACCAACAGCCCCGTGAGCGTGAGCGAGTGAGCCAGAAGCCGACCCTTCCTAATCCATCCCCGAGATGACTGCAGCCTGTGAGTGACCCTGGGCCAGAGGTCCCAGGGGAGCCACCTCCAGATTTCTGGCACATTCAAACTGTGAGATAATCATGTTTTGAGCCCTTCTGTGGGGTAATCTGTTATGTTACAGTAGATAACTTGCCCACTCCCCCTGCCGGGTGGTCACAAAGATAACGTGAGGTAAATACAAAGGGTTCAGCACAATGCCTGAGGCCACAGGAGGCAGTGCACTACCTTAGCTCTACCCTCCCTCCCTGTCACTCCATCCCTCCTGCTCCACGAGCATCTGGCCACCATCACCTCCCCTCTGGATCCCCACAAATGCTCTGCAACTGGTTTTCCTTGCTTCCCTGTGTCCAGCTGGTGATTCTCCTTAAAAAGCAAACAGAGAAACTTCAACAGCTCCCTATTGCTCAAAGGACAGAAACCAAATGGATATTCAAGGCCCGCAGACTGTCCCTATTCTGTATTTCCAAGCTAGCTACCCATTACACACTCACACTTCATTACTATTCTATTTAAGATCAATCTATTCACTTCATCCCAAATACACTTTGTCCATTCCCACCACGAGTGGATGTGTGCCCCTTTAGTAGGTGTTCCTGTTTTTCTCTGGATTCCAAAGGCCACCCTCCTACCCCATCACTTTCACTACCATTCAGGACTGACCTCCCTACTAAGCTTTTCCAAATGTCACCACCCCAGAATAATCTTCTTCTTTCTCTAATTTATTATGTACTCCTTTGGTATTTAAAATCACAGAGATATAAAATCTGAGAACAGGCAGAAGCAACTTCAGAAAGCCTCAGGTCCAATCATTCATGTTATGGGCAAAGAATCTGAGGCTCTGAGATGAGAGGGACACACCTGGATAGTGGCAGCACAAGCACCAGGATTCAAGCCTCAAAACTCTCGTGTTATTCAATTCTAGAAACATTTACCAAGGGACCGTTATATATAAGGTACTACAAAATTTCAACAGTTCCTACCAATCTGCCATTCATTTATTTAATCAAACAAAAATTACTGAGTGCTATTTACTAGACACTCTGCTTCGAATAAAGACTTTGTCCACAAGGAATTCAGGGCAGTGAAAAATGCAAAAAGGTAAAGCAACAATTACAAAACAGCTTGATAAGGTCTCTGACAGCAGGTTCTAGGGAGGCAGAAGAAAACCACCTATATACTATCTTTGGTCCTGCCCTCATTCGCTCACCCATTCAGTGTGATAGACAGTCAGACAGACAGACTTCTCACTTTCCTAAGGAAAGTAAGTAGGAAAAAAAAAGGTTCTCTTGAAGCAACTCATGAACGACAAACCCCTGCCATGTCTATGCTACTATGAAAAGTAATGTTTTTCTAATATGATATCAGATCTATAAAATTAGATTTATTAAAAAAAAAAACTTGAAATATACATACATTATTCCATTACCCTGTTTTTAGAGTCTGTGTTTTGGAGTCAGACAGACCCTGAGTGTCAGACATTCAGTCTGCTGTTTATTTGCTGAGTGATCTTAGGCAAGCAGTTTAAACTCACTGAAATTTAATTTTCTCATCTGTAAAATGGGAATAATACCCACTTTTCATGGCATTTGTGGGAATTAAAATCCTGTCTTTTAAATAATCAATACAGAATATACAAGTATAAGCAACAAAAATTGTGCTTGATAACTAAAACACATTCAAATATCATTAAATGGGCACGGCATTATTATCAAAATTTATCAAAATATCCTTTAGTTACTAACTGTCCAAAACAAAAGGGTACCTCTCTGAAAATTTTTCTAGTAGTCACTGCACAAGTTTTTTTCTACTATTTCCAGGTAGCAACATTCTGAGAATCCATTGTGTGCTGGTTGCTATGTGGAGAGTGAAATAAAACCCTACATTTAAGAAGTTTAGAATACAAATGAGAACACTTCTTTGTGCGAAGCAAGCAAATCCTTTCTTGCAGATTTAGTCATGAAGAAAAGATACCAGGTGCCAAGAATATAGTTCAACTGAAGCAGGTAAGTTTAATGTTAAGAACAAAATGGGATCCATTAGGAAAAACTATATGTAAGAGATGAGTTACAGTGTAAGATATCCTTTTCATGTTGATTATTTTAATAGGATTTAATACATATGATTATTCTTCAGGTTTCTGAATTAAAATTGTTCAGGTGGCCATAAGGTCTGGAAACATAGACAACTATACATAATAAATAGTTTACTGATATTCCACTAAATGTTCAATGAATGTCATGTTCCTCACTAGCAATTTATAGTTCAACAAGCTGTGCAAAACTGCCTTGAACAGTGTGCACTAAACCGGTATTTCCATCAATCCTTGTATATGCACTTACAATGCATCACCTAAAGTGATTGTATGCCTTATTTTCACTGAATAATCTTGTGCCCTTAGCACACCTGAGAAGTAATCAAGAAGCGTATGTTGTCTGTTTTCGGACTATGTGGCCATCTATATATATTTTTTTTAAGTTTCACCTACTGTAAGTCTTATAAACATTTTTGCCATTCATATTTATACCAAGGAAAAAATGAATACTAAAAAATGAGATAATGGAAAAACAAAAATTGATTTATTTTGCTTTTAAATTCCACACCATAACATTTTACTGAAAATGAAGTGATTTTTAATCTATAGATAAAGGATTCTCTAAATGACACTCAGAGTGTCTTTAACAAATTTTGTTTTAAAATATATTTGAATACACAACAGGTCTTACACACAATGATTTCAATAAATTAGACACCAGAACACAAGGTGAAGCTCTAGCAAGGTGAAGCTCTAGCAATTAAAAAGTGATGACTTTTTAATAGTCCAAGAGGATAAAGACCTTTTTCAAATGTGGAAAGAAATTAATCTTTCTACAGTATGAACCCCTAAAAGCTACTCTCCTTTATAGACGACAACATTATTGTCAGTTTCATATACTTTTACTTTATAAAGAACTCCCATAGGAAGAAATTTCTGGAGGTTTTCCCAGATATATACAGCTACATTTTCTGTCGTGCTGTAGGAAAAAAAGGAAAGAAGATCAAAGGCAAATGAACAAAATTTCATTTTTGATATTTACAGAGAATAGAAATTCTGGATTTAAAAAATAATGCTAAAATAAAACTTCAGAACCACCTACCAGTCAGATAAAATGTTAACAGCAATTCTTCTTTCCTACTATTTACATAAGGCAAGATGGTCACACTCACCTTACAGTATCTGCAAAGTATGGCACATCTAGATCCAGATTCTTATGATCAAGGGGCTTCATAATTGCCTCCTGTAGATAAAACAAAGGAAAAAGATCACTTTGGATCTTGGAATTTGATGACTCAAATTCCAAAGTGTTCTATCTTTGCCTCTAGAAGCCTTACCTTATCAGTTAGTCACTAACTCAGTGCTTGTAAGGACTCCATCTGTGTCTCACAAAATAAAGCTTAAAGTTGGAAAATGAAGCAAGGCCCAAATCTCCATAATGACTGGTTCTCCTCATTACTAAATGCAAAGATGTAAGAAATCAAAACGTACAGGAGAATTCACTGCAGCTTTCTTGTAACCAGCCATAGTGATTCAGAATTCAGTTTAACACTTCGTGAATTCTGTCTAAAAATTACCAAAAATACTTCTCCATATAGTCTTAGCTTCAGCACAATGCCACAAGGTCATCAGGACAAGGATCCAGTGAGTGTTAACATTTTATAAAGCCGACTGAGAGTGAAGTTATGTAAGTAGTTCTAAACTTCTGCTATGAGGAGTAATTTAAGAATTATCTTGGACTCTTAGAGGAGAAAAAATATAAATATATAAAGACCGTTGCTTCCTAATGCTTATATATATTAACATAACGTTTTCCCTTGTTGGTGGCAAGAATAGCAACTGCCTTATTCTTTCTAACTTTTTACTTTTGGCTATTGTACAAAATGTAAGCATTTGTGAAACAATCTAATTTTCCAGTGGTATGGTTCCAAGAAGGGTACATTAATAATAACAGCAATCATTTTTTGAGGAAAACCAGAACCATATGAAAAAGAGTTAAGCCTTAAGCCAAATAGCCTTTAAAACAGATCAAATTAAGGGCAGTTCCACATGGACATCAAGAAAATAAATACTGTTTCCTATTCAATTCCAGTGCGGGTCCCAACTTTCCCACTGAAGTTTCTTCCACAGGCCCCATCTAACTTTATTACAGGCCATGATGAGTTACTTCTACTAAGGGGACTATGTGGGGTCCCTCGGGTACACAAAAGTGGCGAAGCGTACAGAGAACCTGTATTCCAGTATTTGGCCATCCGCATGCATGAGACGCCTCAAATTTCCCATACTGCTATCTTGTATTGTACAACACTCTGTGTATATATTTTAAATCTCCAGTAAATGCACAAACTCTGTCTTTATAGCTTTCCTAATGTACTCAGAACACACTGCTCTTTGTTCATTTGCTGAATCTCTTATTCATTTTATCCAGCTGAAACTTACTGAGCACCTAGTATTCTTTGTCTCCTAGAAAAAGTCATGTTAGCATTCTCTGGGTAAAGGCTGTGTCTCACTCGTCTTTGTACTCTTGATGCTTAGTTCAAAGACTTATGCGGAGTAGGCAAACTTGCTGAATATATGAATGATAAGTAATATGGAAGAAATGATGATCACTAGTAGCATTTTTATAAGACAGATATCGGATTCCAGATCAAGAATAAGAAGCAGAGTTTAAGAGTGGAACTGAACAGACAGGTGACATGGTATAATAATAAAACCAAAGCTGGGTTGAAGGGAGTCCACTTCTAACTTTGTAAAAGACTAACCACACAACCTAAAGCAAGTTCAGCCTCTCTCAATCCAGGGAATGAAGAAGTTGGTTGAGATCATCTCTAAGGCTTCTGACACTGCAGGACTTCTATAATGATACAGTCAGCAAGTCCTTCATTGAACTCCTGTTATGTGATCCCTGTTAATTGGAGGAAATCAGGATATGGCAGCAGGGAATACAAGATGAGCATGTTACAGGTATTCCCATCACTGCAATTCAACTGTGACTTATTTCCTTTAAATCACCCAAACACCTTTAGAAAAATATGAGAGTAGTTCCTCCAACTACTCCTCCAATTCTGCTCACAAGGTCATGGAACCTCTGAAGATACTTAGGTGGGAAAGTAAAAACGGGGGCCATCAAATATACTTAGAGGACCCAACATGACATTACCTCCATGTACTCTTTGAGGTCGGTCATATTCATAACCATGCCTGTAACAGGATCAATCTGAAGAATAAACAAAGGTGAATATTAGTATAATATGCTTTTCATATTTAAACCTCTGCTAAGTTATTAAAGGCTGTACAATGTGCAGAAATCGCGCCCACATCTGCCTTCATCTCTGAGACAATCACCAGGTGCTCCAGGTATCCATTTTATGGTACCACTGATCTTCTATCTGTCCACATATAGCAGATTAAAGATAACCCTTCGGGAGAGGAAAGGTCTGGAATGACAGCAGCTCACCATACACAAAGGCCAACAATGAAGCAATATTGATTTGAACAGAATTTTTCAACACAGAATCCATCATGTTGGCTGAGAAGGCCCAGCAATCTGCGCAAAGCACACAGATATTTTCAGCACGTACCTCTCCATGAACTGTCACCACAACTATGGGAAAGAAAACAGAATACCAAAAAACCACATGAATTTCAACAGATAACACCCAAGCACAAGTTAGCAACATAAATTAAGTATTAGATCTCTGCCCTACAAAACTATTTATATTTTCCCTAAGATGGCTGGTCTTTTAGTTAACATCTTTATTAATGAAAGCAAGACTCAACCAAGACAGAGAGGCTTAGCAGGAGCTTTGGCCAAAGCCAGAAAGGGTGTAAATTCTATTTACGAGGTTGATGCACTGGGTAAGAATGTCCACTAGGTAGGATGGAGATGCCGCTTGATCACTGCCTGTAAAAGCAGAGTATGTACAGAAAGAAGTCCGGCTACACATTGAGGTGGCCCAATGCTGGGCAGTACCTTTCTGAGCAAGCAAAACCACTAATGGGCCTAAAACTCTGATGCCTTTACTTACATAAACATATCCAGTTTACGGTAATGCTCTATAAGTTAATGAAGCATTTGAAAAATGATGCTCAGAGTGTTTTACAATTTAATAACATATATATTTTTTTCAGCTCTGTGCAAACGCCATTAGGTATTACGTGATAAGAGAGCAAACTAAGAATAACAAATATCATAGATCAAGAGGCAGTAACTAAACTAGAAAGTCTGATCTTCTGACACCTTTTCTAATCTTTTTACTCTACCATACTATATGCCATGATATGCAATGGCTTACGTAGCTGTTTTTTCAGATACCGGCTTTATCTCAAAGAATCACATCTCTCATACTTGTTTAGAGCATAAACTGTTTTCTTGGAACATTGCTGGCAAAGTTTTAGACCCAAGTTATTTTACTGCCATATAGCAGGTTCCTAACCAATATCTCCCTTTTGTCTGTCATTATTTACTCAAAGAATACAGTGTAATTTTAACGTTAGCCTCAACAATACCTAATTAGGAGGAAACGTGGTGCCAAAAAAATCTCATTATGTACACTAAGGCCAAGGATAAAAAATATTATTTAAACCATTCATTATCTCTAACACAGCAGATACAAGGTAAAATTTAAGACACATCCAACCAAGACAACAGATTTTTTTCATTCTGAACTTCCATGTAACTGCATATTCAAGGCTCAAGGTATTCATGCTTTGCCCATAAGGTTTCTGACTCGTTAGGACTATAATTGCCGATTACATCCTTATTGAAAGGGCTAAAATTTCATCACCTTTTCCCTCACCTTTATAATTGTGCCCATGGCCATTTGGATTGTTGCATTTCCCATACAGTTTCAAGTTTTCTTCGTTACTCAGACATTTGCTGAAAAAAAAAAAAATCAACACGTCACAAGTTCAGATACCTTCTCTGTTCCCTACATTATTTGCTCTAGCTTTTGAAAAGCTTCACAACTTATTATTACTTTAGCTCACCAAATGGAGAGTCATAAATCATTTTGATTTCATTATTCAGCTGTCAGGAACCAGTGTATGCCCCTTAATTAGGCTACTGTCCCATATAAATTAGCATAAACAAAGTCCACACCCTCATTCCACAGCAAGATTCCAACTAATCTGCTCAAGGCCCTTCTATTTTTCAACTCCCCAAGCATTTACTGGGTACCTATTACATTCTAGGCATGGATTGAATGAAGCAAGGACATACAATGATAAAAGATGCCTGTCCTCAAGTGGTTTAAAATCTCATTTCTCCTTAAAAATAATTACGTGACCTACTGCGGCTCCTCTTTAACACCCTTGCATTCTAACGCCTTACTTAACGACTGCCACAAACAACGTCACCAATCCATTGAGGGGTATTCAGATTAGGTGAAACTTAAAAATTACAATACTCAGTTGTTCTTCCAGGCAGAAGACAATTTTCATTCTTAAATTTTTTCCAAGTTTATTTATTCTTGAGAGGGAGAGAGAGAGAGAGAGAGTGCACGCACAAGTGGGATAAGGGATAGAGAGAGGGGGAGACACAGAATCTGAAGCAGGCTCCAGGCACTGAACTGTCCGCACAGAGCCGGACTGGGGACTGGAACCCCAACGGTGAGATCAAGACCTGAGCGGTAGGCTGATGCTTAACCCACTGAGCCACCCAGGGGCCCCCAGAAAACAATTTTCTTCATGAATTTTTCCTCCACCTGTCCAATCCTCCATGCATCTTCAACGAGGCCTCCTATGTGAACGCCCTATTATACTGCCCCTTCCTTTTTGAGACCCTCTTTGTTATTTTCCCCCATTCCCTCCTGCTCACCCACTGACATTTAGAATGCTACAGTTCACAAAGCTTTTGCACAAAATTCCCTCCCTATGTCCTCCACAAGATTGGCCAGATGGCGCGCTCGGGACAGAAGGCGAGGACGGGTGAGTGTTGATCGCTGCTGCCTAACACAACACCTGTCACCTGACACAAGACCTGACAAGATGGCCAAATACCTGCCCAGTGAATGAACGGATGACCCTTGTTAGAAATGATTATCCTCGTTTCACAGACCGGGAAACGTTATGCTGAGAGCGGGACTTGCTAATGAGAGGCAAAATGCGCCTCGACATCAACTCCTCGGTGCGTTCAAGCAGTCGTGAATGCTCTGGGTTCAAATCCCTGTCACGCTCCCTGTTCTCAGAGCTGCCTCGCCAAAGGGATCGCCTGGGTTCACGACATCCGTGCTAAACAGTGGGTAAACTTGCGTTGTCGTAGCTGTACTGGTTACGTGGCTACCGCTCCTGGCACCTCGGAGCAGCTCACTTTTACGGAATGTTCACCACGTGCCTGGCACTGTGTCACCTGAGCACTGTGTCACTGCTCCGACTGTCGCAGCAACCCCTCGCGCTCTACTGGGGTATGTAAGGAACCCCGAAGTTGCTCCAAGACTCGGAGCCAGCGAGGAAGCCTCCGCGGTCCGCGCCGCGTGCCACCGCGCCCACGGCCTCCTCCGCTGGACTCCAGCTGCCACCGTCACCCGGTCGCCAGGGAAGCAGGGGGCGCGCCTCGGTTCGCACACCTGCGCTCCCGCGCCCGAGCCCCGCCCCCCTGCGTGGGCACTGTGGGCACACCCCACCTGTGGAGCCGGTGGGTCGCGCTGAAGGAGACGAGGCGGGACAGTCGCGCCCAGCGGCGACCGCCCACACCCGCGCCAGCCGCGCTCATCGCCTTGCCTCCCGGTTCGGTTCGCCGCGGGGCGGGGATAGGCCGAGCGTTCCGCGGCTGCGCAGTGCGGCCGGCGCCCCGGGACGCGCTCTCGGCTCCGCGCTGCGGCTGGCTCCGTCTGCTGGCCCGGAGGCAGTAAAGCGTCCCGTCCTGTCAGTCTCTTGGACCGCAAGAGCGGGGATAAGGTAGGTAAACCTACCAGCAGTCAGAAAACGTGGGTGAGGTCTCAGTGTCTTTCGTTCCAAGGTCTGCTCAGCCTCAGGCCACTTCGGGCCGTGAGGGTCAGCCTGGCCACACTGCATACTGGAAGGACCTCTGTGACATGCTCCTCCCACTCACTTCTAGAAAGCCCTGGCTATAATAACCTCCCCTGGCTGGTTACTCAGAGGTGGGCCTCAAGGCCAACCTACTTATAGCCTAAAGGGAGCGGGAATTTCAGGGCACATGTAGGAGCCCTTGACTTTCATAAATGACATTACCTTTGGACTGTTTGTAAAGATTCTTCTTACTAAGGGAAATTCTCAAGCTTTCCTTACCATCCACATACATGCATAAAACCATTTATCACAGTGTGAACACATGCAGTCATGAACACACACATTAGCAATTCTCTGTCCTATGTTGACACTTCCGAAGTAAACGGATCATGTTTCCCCACATCTACTTATAAGGAGTATCCACACTACTTAACAGTTCCCAGTATTATGTCACCTCTTGCTTCCATTCACTCCTTTGCTAAATATTTATCGACTATCTAACCATGTGAGTGGCATTGTTCCAGGAAGGAAAGATTAAATCATGAGAGTAACAGGCATACAGGCCCCAAATCGTGATTTCTTTCAAATGTCTCCTGTCTCCAGCTCCATACTCTTGTTCTGCATTATCATGTAGCCAAACATTTTTAGCATGTTTTCAAATATTTTTATTATATCCCCCAGTGGGCTGTAAAAACATCAAAGAATAAACTTCAGATATTTCTGAGATAAACACTCTAGTCCAGTCGTCTCATGGATAAGAAAGCATGGGCCCAGGGGCACCTGGGTGGCTCAGTCAGTTAAGTGTCCGACTTCAGCTCAGGTCATGATCTTGCAGTTCACAAGTTCAAGCCCCACATCAGGCTCTGTGCTGACAGCTCAGAGCCTGCAACCTGCTTCAGATTCTGTGTCTCCCTCTCTCTCCCCCTCCCCTGCTTGCTTTCTCTCTCTCAAAAATAAACATTAAAAAAAATTAAAGAAAGCATAGGCCCATATAAGTGAATTACTCATACAAGATCACTTACAATAAAACAGTACTTGCCAGGCATTGACGATATGGGAGATAAGCAGTCTAATTAATGGTCAATGGTTACACAAATGCTTGACTCTTTCTGAATGAAGTCTTAGGAATCAAAATACAAAGCAAAAGGAATTTCTGAGAAATTGCTGTACTCAATTACTTAAATAAAATATGGCATTGCATTTGCAGAGCCTTTGCTCTACATTTTTAAATTAAGGGTATTCACCAAATTCACCCTCAGTGATCCTGTTATGGGTTGAATCATGTCCCCCCAAAACTAGTGTGTTGAGCCCCCAGTACCTCAGAACATGACTTTATGTGGAAATGGGTCTTTGCAGATATAATTAGTTAAAACAAAGTCACTAGGCTGGGTTCTAGTCCCTTTCCCCTCCCATATGCGCCTCATACTCCTCTCCTTGAGTCTCGACCCTGGTGAGTGAGGAGTTGGGCTTAGGGAGAGGAAGAGGCCCTAACTAGGCTTTCAGCCTTAGTCATCTGGTCACTCAATTTTATCAGAGTGATATATTTAAATAGATAGATAGATAGATAGATAGATAGATAGATAGAAAGATAGAGGCATATTATAGAATGTCACTGTGGAGCGCCTGGGTGGCTCAGTAGGTTGAGCATCTAAGTCGGGCTCTGTGCAGATGGTGCAGAGCCTGCTTGGGATTCTCCCTCTCCTTCTCCCTGCCTCTCCCCACCTTTCAAAATAGCCATTTTAAAAAATAAACAAAATGTCATTGATCCCTTTTTGTCTTCTTCTTCAAGAACCTCATAGATGACAGAGCCACGGCAGAATTCAGGCATCCTTGGGTCAAAATCTTATGATTGTACTGATAACCTTTATATGCTTGAACTTCACACCCTGTGATTAGGATGGAGTAAAGATTTACAGAGGAAAGACATGATCAGATTGGCATACTTCCCAGATGTCATCTGGAGTCTCTTCCACCCTTTAGATCCAGATAAGATCTAAAACAATCCTCCTGTCTTTGAGGACTTCTGTGAAATATCAGGGGATTTATGTTCTCTTATGCTTACCTCAGCCTCGAAGCCTCCACATCTCTGTGAGTTGTTCAGCCATCTTCTTGCCATTCTGGTACCTGCTGCTTTTACTCTGTGCTTCATCAACCCAGACACAAAACTTAGAGCTTTCCCTTTACTGCCACAATGTAAACCTTTACAGGTGGCATTTTTGTGCCTGCGGGAACACTTCACTACAGAGAACAGGGTTTATGATGTTGGCTGTAACTCCTGAGGAAAACTGGGAAGACACTGACTCTGCAGTGAGCTCACGGTTGTCCCAAACTACAAGTCAAGGAGGGTTCTCCGGCAGCATTCAACATGCAGAGGGAGCACTGAAAGTTTAACTGGTCCTGGTTTGGAGTTAAGTGGAGGGAGGAGGTATAACTGAAGGGAAAGGCAAGAAAGGATCTCGAAGGCGTTGGCAAGAGTTGTGGTTATTGGACAGACATAGGAGGCTTCGGGCTGTCAGGGTTTAGACGCATGGAGATTAGATGGCCTCTAGTGCCACCTGTTGCCCAACCAAATGAAGAACTACCCACTCTTCAATTTCTGGAGATGAGAAGAAATGGCTGATCTTAGTGACGTCCCTCAAAACAACACCCTCCCAAGGCTGAGCTGGGGGTGGGGTGGAAGGTGGCAGTCAGTGGCTCAACTGCTGTGGCGTCCGTGGACAGTGGAGAAACAGGTGCTTTGGAAGAAAGCCTCCAAGCATGACGTAGCTGGCTTCCTGTCCTTTGTAAGCTCCTTAGAGCCCATGCTAACAGGCAGGCTGTGATGGAAAAAAACAAGGTGCTTTTTAGAGCCATACTCGTATTTTACAATCTGTGATTATTTGTATTTTTTCTCCCAAGTGTAAGGACCTCTGTCACCACTCTGTCTGATGGTGGTGATGACCCAGCTCTTTTTCTTTCATGTAGTCTTATTACCTAGAGAAAGATGTATCTAGTAAATATAAATTTAAAACTCTCTTCAAAAGGTTGTATCAACACTTGCTTCATGTTTTTAAGGAAGAGCCCTAAGAAAATATAAAACCGTGATTATCTCAAGAATTCTGTTTTGTTTTGTTTTTTTAAAGTTTATTTATTTTAAGAGAGACAGAGAGCTGGGGAGGGGCTGTGGGGGGAGAGAATCCCATGCAGCCTCCACACTCAGCACAGAGGCAAAATAAAGAGTCGGACACTTAATTGAGCCACCCAGGCAGGCCAAGAATTTGTTTTTTAATAGAAATTTTACAACCAGATCTCTACAGTTTGGAAGGTAAGGTGCCTTTTTTGCTCTCTTTTTTTGTACAGAGAATGTTCATTGTAAACTATGTTTCTAGGCCTTGTGAGTTGTTCCATCAGATGGTGACAAAGGTGCCATGGAACCCATAAGGCATTTGCACGGGCACTTCGGCTCGGCCCAGTTCTTCAAAGTTCTTGGCGTCCAAGACTAGTAGAAAATTGTTTTCATTCTAGAAAAGGAAAAACAATACTGGAAATTCTTTTCTTTTTTAATTTTTTAATGTTTTAATTATTTTCGAAGAAGAGAGACACAGAGCATGAGCGGGGGAAGAGCGGAGAGAGAGGGAGACACAGAATTCGAAGCAGGCTCCAGGCTCTGAGCTGTCAGCACACAGCCTGATGCGGGGCTTGAACTCACGAACTGTGAGATCATGACCTGAGTTGAAGTCGGATGCTTAACCAACTGAGCCACCCAGGCGCCCCAGAAATTCTTTTGATCATGTCTTATGCATCTTCCTATCTATCCTCACCACCTAGCGCAGTGCCTTGGCTATCCATTCACTGAATGTTTGCGGAATTGCTGAACCAGCCTGAAAAGGAAATTATGGCAGAAGAAGTTCAGGCCCAGAGTGAAGAAATTAGGTTGTTTATGTCAATTACTTTCACAGAATCTCTCTGACTTTAAGGATCTTTTTACCTGGGCCTTTTTAATCACCGAAGGGATACAGAAATTTTTTTCTTCCAAATTTTCTAAGTTCTATGCCTCCAGTTACTTCGGAACTGTACAAATAACTTTGTCAGCATTACAAGGCTGACTGATACTTGCCCTGGTGTAATTGCAGGAGTGGCAAGTACATGAAATGAGGACAAAGTCCTCTGAAGCCTGTGGCAGATGTTAGTAATTGATCCCAGCACTCTCCTCGTCAAACCCTTAAAAAGTCTCAGAATCCTACACCCCAGGCAGCCACTAATAACTGATCAAAGCTTGTACTCAAAGTGAACCTATCTGCCATAAGACTGCCTTACACAAGAAGTTATGACATCAACATTGTTGAGAACTAGGGCTCACCACATTACACTTTTGGAGCAATGAAACTGGCAGCACAGATGGTGGCATGAACATCCAACTAGACGTCAGAAGACTGAGATTTAAACACTGGCTTTACCACTGTGAGATGTGACGCAAGCTCCTGCAACTTATCTAACTTACAAATTCCATGTGTGTAAAATGGTATGCAAAAAAGGTCTTCTTCTTTTTTTTTTTTTAATTTAAATTCAAGTTAGTTAACATACAGCGTAGTCTTGGTTTCAGGAATAGAACCCGGGATTCATCTCTTACATATGATACCCAGTGCTCATCCTGAAAAGTGCCCTCCTTAATGCTCATCACCCATTTTACCCATACCCTACCCACCTCCCCTCCAGCAACGCTCAGTTTGTTCTCTATATTTAAGATTCTCTTATGGTTTGCCTCCCTCTCTGTTTCAACAAAGCTCTTCT